AAACGTATATGCAAATTGGTCACTACTGAAAACAAGGAGATAACATCGCATGATGATATTATATCAGAAGTTGTATTATTCTACTCTAAATTGTATAAAAATAATGCTGTTGTTGATGTAGACTTAAATAAAATATTAAATGATCCAGATATAAGTAAATGAACTGCGTCAATGTCACAGAAGCTCGAAGGAGAACTCTCCATCGATGAAGTTCATCAAGCACTTATAAATATGAAAAATAATAAATCACCTGGTCTAGATGGATACACCGTCGAATTTTTCAAACATTTTTGGAAAGAATTACACATATTTTTAGTGAGATATTTGAACTCTGCATATTCATCCGGAATGTCCTATACACAGAAGTTAGGAGTCATCACTTTAATTCCCAAAGGAAAAAAAGATAGACATTATTTGAAAAATTGGAGACCCATATCTTTATTGAACGTGGTGTATAAATTAGGTTCCTCTTGTATAGCAAACAGATTAAAGAACGTACTTCCTTTTCTTATACATGAAAACCAGAAAGGCTTTATGTCAGGGCGCTTCATTGGAGAGAATATCCGTTTGTTATATGATTTATTATTGTATACTGATATCAATGACATTCCTGGTTTATTGCTGCTTATAGATTTTGAAAAAGCATTTGATTCTATTTCTCATGATTTTATTAGAAAAGTATTGCACTTTTTTAAGTTTGGTCCCTCTATTGTAAAATGGGTTAATGTATTCTATGAAAATGCTCAATCCTGTGTATTAATCAATGGACACCTGTCTCCAAGATTTTCAATAGAGCGAGGTTGTCGTCAAGGAGATCCCATGTCAGCTCTTATCTTTCTATTATGCGCCGAAATACTAGGTCTCTTGTTTAGAAATTCCGATTCCATTGTTGGTTTGAGCTTACCTGGTAGACAACTTAAAATAATTCAATATGCAGATGATACTCTTCTAACATTGAATGGATCAGTAATGGAATTAAACAGTGCATTAAACATTTTAGATAAATATAATGCAATGTCTGGTTTAAAAGTTAATATACAGAAGACACATGCGATTTGGATTGGAGGATTTAAAAACAAGAAAGATGGTGTTCTTTTGGATAGAAATCTAAATTGGGTTTTTGATGATTATTTCAGATATTTAGGTATAGACTTTTGTACGGATTTGCCCAAATTGATAATTCACAATTATAATGAAAAATTTAAAGAAATAAAAAGTCAAATGACATCGTGGTTGAGACGATACTTAACTGTTCTTGGAAGAATCACTGTCGTCAAGTCATTGTTGGTATCCAAATTAAACTACCTTTTTTTGTCCCTCCCTAATCCTGGTGAAAATATTTTGAAAGATATAAATGCTCACTTTTATAGATTTATATGGGGGGAGAAACCTGATAAAATAAGTAGAAATCAAGTGTCACAAAGTTACTCAGACGGAGGGGTTAAAATGATAGATATATACACACATTGCCAATCATTAAAAATTTCCTGGATTAAGAGATTAGTAATTGGCTCAATAGATAGCAATATCCTCTGTTTTTTGCAATCTTTCTTGCCTGAACGGCAAGATTTAAAATTATATATGGGAAACAATTATTTTCGGGAACTGGCAGGTAAAACAAAGAACCTTTTTTGGAAAGAAATGTTCATGGCTTATAGTACGCTCTTGTCCATGCATCATGATAACATTTCTTGCCAACCCTTATGGAATAATGATTACATTAAAATAGGCAATAGCTCAATATATAATAAAAAATTGTGTCAAAAGGGAGTTCGTTTTGTTAACGATATTTTAGACACAAATGGTGATTTTTTCTCTCTGGAACACTTTCAAGAAAAGTATAATATTCAAATAAATTTTCTTTTTTATCGTGGATTATGCGATGCAATTAGACAAGGGTTTAACAATTGTACTATTTTTAACAAGGTGCCACAACCTCTTTTCCCAGATACAATGGCATTTGTTATGAAACGTATTGAAGGATGTTCACATATCTATGCAATATTATTAAAGAGAAGAAAAGTACTATGTAAAAGTTTTCTTAAATGGAAATGCATTTTTGACCTGAATGATAAGAGTTGGGAAACATATTGTTCTATTGGATTTAATTGTACCATTGATGTGGGCTTACGATGGTTTCAGTTTAAAGTCTTGCAACGCATATTATATACGAACGATCTACTATTTAAAATGAATTTAGTCCCAAGAAAAGAATGTACATTTTGTAATGAACAGATTGAAACAGTTATACATTTGCTATGTGATTGTACGCATGTTAAAAATATTTGGGGTAGGTTAGAACACTGGATTAATACTGGAACCGGAAATAAATTAACATTTTCATTACAAGATAAATTATTTGGTTTAAAAGGTTCAAATAATTATGCATTGAATTGTATACTGATTGTGGTGCGACAGATGGTGTATACTTGCAAAATAAAGAAACAATTGCCCGACTTTGATAGTATTAGAGTTTCGATTATAAATTACTTCAAAAACGAAAAATATATTGCAAATTCGAATTGTAGAAATAATAAATTCACAAGAAAATGGTTTCAATTCAGGAATTTGTTTACTTAAAACGATATTTTTTCTGTATTTGTTTTTCTTTCCATGAGTGTTAGAAATGAATTATTGATTTGTTAGTTTTCTGTTAACTCAACAGCTCAACAATACTTGTATCTTGAAAAGCCAATTTTATTTTATTCATGTTATTATGTAAATTACCTTGAATATATATTTTTGTATGTTTTCAAATGAAAATCAATAAAATCCCTGTGGAGGGAAAAATATGGAGAAAAAAAAAAATATATATATATATATATATATATATACATATAGATAATGAGCTCACTTTATTTTGCAACGCATCATCGTTTGAAAAGTAAGTACAAAAATAAACGTTTCATTCACCGGCACAGAAACAGAAGAATGCACATGTTTGTATGCATACATAAATTCATATGTATAAATATATACATAATTTTATTGAAAGAAATTTTCGTATCCGGACACCTACCTCCGGAACGTCTACCCCCGAAAAGCCACCCAAGTCAACTACCCCTAGGACAACTACCCCAAGGGCAACCATCCTCTAGGACGACTGCCCTCAAGACAACTACCCCCGGACAACTACCCCCAAACAACTACCCCCTAGGACAACTACCCCCGAACAACTACTCCCTAGGACAACTACCTCGGACAACTACCCCAAGACAACTACCCCCTAGGATAGTCGTCCCGGGGGTAGTTTTCCTAGAGGGTAGTTGTCCTAGGGGGTAGTTTTCCTAGGGGGTAGTTGTCTTGGGGTAGTCGTCTTAGAGGGTGGTTGCCCAAGGGGTAGTTGACTGGGGGTGGTTATCCGGGGATGGATGTCCAGGGGGTAGGTGTCCTAGAACCAGAAATTTTAAGCCACTTACAGTATGTAACTACATTTCCGAATTTCGCCCCTCCCCCCTCCCTCAGGGACAAAATGGCTTATGGGTAATCATAATTTTTACAAACAAATGAATATACATATATAAATTGATATATACGTTGTACACACATTGTACACACATTCAAATATAAAAATACGAATATTACCTTACATTAAAATGTTTGTGTTCATATGGAAGAAGAAAGAAAATCTCTGGTACCATTATTTGCATAGATTAATGTTGCCATAATGTTTTTACCCCTACCTGGAATCACCTTTCTAGAATTCAACACAGATGTATGCATTACATATGGTGAACTAACTAGTTAACATACATTTGATATTGAACATCAACTAATATTAAGCATGGCAAGAATTATTAAGAAATGCCACTTTAATACTCAAGAAAAGACATTTATTATTTCTAAAAAAAATATATATATATAATACCGATGGGTAGCATTTGTGTGAACCGATCTCCAGGTAGTGAGTAATAATGATGTGTAATAATCTACTTATTTCATATTTATTACGTATAAAACTTATCACTAGAATTTATAACGAAATATGCCATCTATCACACCCTAAATTGAGTTTCTGTAATTAACCGTTATCATATCATTGCTCAAGTTTAACACAGACATTTCACTCAAAAAAATTAGCCCACCGCTCAGTACACGACCTTTCTGTGACGCGATTTTGGAAGAAATTGCAATTACATTATATATCGAAATTCAAACAAAAATCATCTTCCTGTGTTTGGTTTTTGATAATGAAATGAACACTAAAAATGTCAATTTAAGTGCACTTAGGCCTTCATGTCAGAATAAAATACGAATCGGGTACAAATTGAAGACGACTGCATGATTTGGTCTGACGTCACTACGATTCAAATTTTTTTCTCTTAAGATGTAGTTTGCAACCACCCAAAGCTTTTATTTCATTTTCATATGCATATTCAGAACCTCGGTCATTAAAATTGTAAATGTTTGAGTACTATATCAAATACTATTGCGACTTCTTATAAAACCGGATCGCAGTCAGATCGTATAGCGGGCTTTAGGGAAAATGAGCGAGATGATCGCTTTTAAGTTGTGTGCCGTGAATTGCGTACACAAAACGATATTGCTCAGCTGCAAGTTTAAATAATTGTATACATACATATAGCATGCATGGTGGTGGAAAAGGAAAGACATAAACAATAATTTCACGAAGACATACTTATTGAAAATATTGCAAATACACGTGTATTCAGTTGTTTTGTGTTAATACGCATGTAACGTGCATACATCTGTATAATAATATTTACATATTATTTACATATTATTTAAAAAATATATATATTTACATACATTAACATGTATTTACACTAGTTATTTAACTTATAATGTATAAAGTGAACTTTTGATTAGTTCTCGGTAAAATTGTTAAAATTTAACATTATTTTTTAATTGTCTTTTCTACAATTCGTCGCTGTTTTCACGAAGTGACGGTAGTGAAAAAAAATTGCATTCACTTTGCGTTACGATTTGCCTCACTACCGTCACTTCGTGAAAACAAGGACGAATTGTTTTCTTTCCCTTCAAATATTGAGACTGCTTGATAATCAACATGTTTTCGTAATTATTTTGTACATAGAGCTTGTGTGCGAGAGAGCGCGCACGTAGCTAAGACAAATTGAGAACAGTCCAGAACTAGTCTGACGGTACCTTCGAGATTTCGACGGTACTTGATACAAAAATTGCCAGTAGGGATACTGAATAAGAAGGTAAAGAGGTTCAGGTCATTGGATTTGAGCCAGTGCTCGAGAACACTTGATCTGCCATCAGTTAATCCTCAAGAATGTCAGCTGTCTTTCTCTCTGTAATATGAGTATGATTGTCTTTTGTCATTCGGGTCTCGTTTGATTGAGACAATCACGTCTGATCATGGCTAGTAAAATCCATGGTCTGATAAAGACTGTTCAGTGTTTAATCCCAAGATGACAGGTTCTCGAGTTTATTCATTGAATAGTCACTATAATTCTTGTTCTTGTGTAATTGCGCATTTTGCTGGTGTACTCTTGTTCTAGCCCCCTGTAGTTCCTCTGAGGATCTTTAGTGAGTGATCTTACTTGCCAGTCATATTATGCGATTGCCATTTTGTAGTTCCATTGGGCATGTTGCTAGAATGACCTACGATCGCACATCTTCGTACATGTCGTTTTCGTCGATGTCGTAGCCCCTCTGAACGGTACGGAAGTCCACGGGATGGAGGATGAGAATGACAATGCGGCCTGCCTTCTTAATCATCTCCCATACCTATCAATGGAAAAGGGAAATAGTTTCACTAACAGGACGCGGTATGGATTTGTTATGGAGCTGTGAACTAGTAAATCAGGAGGTCCCTGGTTCTAAAGTAAGCCGATGCGCTAGTAACCTTTGGTAAGGCATTTTTCCTTATTACAAAGTCCATCGGAGACAACTTAAAGATACTATGACCCGTTTGCAGCTAACCCCAAATTCTGTAGAACTTTGCAGGGATTATGAATATGTTATGTATGTCCTATCTGTGAAATTTAGACGTTAGCAGTGTCCTAATATTCAAATTATGCAAGGAAACCCGTTTACTGGCTAGACTTCACTGTCAGACACTATTGAGTGACTAACTGGCTTCTTTTCTTCTTTGGTAATAATATACATAAAACGAGCTGTAAAGGGTACATGGGCATTTGTCTTCATCAATAACCTAATTCTTGTAATGGCCAAAATTAAAGTGATCAATTCGGTACAATGGTCTGAAAATCAAATTATTACTTACTGGCTCTATAGCTCTTAAGTCGATTCGACAACTAATAGTCGTTATTTTCCCACTTAAAGACATTTTCAAGCCCCCCCCCCTGTTTTTTTTTAGGGAAGTTCTAAATTAGTATTATCTTTCAAATGCCGTTGGAATTTAACATTTTCACTTTTTTGGCCTGCAAATGGGACATAGTACCTTTAAAGCCGTCGGTTCCCTGGTTGTTTACTTACAAACATACACATGCTTTTGTTTTTAGTCGGGTTAAACAAACCAATCAACCATAATAAGGATTAACAAATGTGTTATAGCGGGGCATTTCACCGGCGTGTGAAGTTTACATAATGTACAATATTGAAGACACCGATTGCATTTGTAAAAGTTTGCAGGGAATTATTATAAATGGTAGCATGTAAGTGATTTCATTGATGTCAGTTCTTAGTTTGCGGGTATTTTGTGATCTTATATAAGAGATTCATAAAACGCAAAATTGTCATCAGAGAGGTATTCGGTGCAGCTGTATAATTATTTTCAGAATGGTAACGAATGAAGGAACGACCTAATGTGTAATGTGAAACTCTTTTCCTAGAATTCTTGAAACCTGTCCTTATGACGGAAAGCTATATGGGAAGCCATGGATTTTACCTTACTCATGTAAATATTTTTTCTGAGCTTAAGCTATACTGATTGTCGAATTTACAGCACGATTATAATAATGATTATAATAATAATAACAAATAATGATAAAAACAACATTAATAATAATAATAATCATAATAGTAATTCACTGTAAATGAGTCTTATTTTAATACATAGGGCAGCCATGTCAGAATGAATACTGTTCTACCTGGGGGCCTTACAGTTATTACTATCCCACCAATTGCCAGGTACCCATATACACTTAGTTGAAGAGTGGCAAATGTGGATTAATTTCTTGTCACCAGAAATGAATCCCAGTAAACCTTTCATCGACATATTCTTATGATCCTCCACTTCTTGTATATGTTACTATATAGGAGTGACTCAATGGTACAGTGGAGACGATTCTGTCAGATCTGCCTACCTGTTCTGTAGATGCATCGGGGTGGACGCAGTCAAAGTTGACCTCAGTGATGACGCAGTTGCATCTCAAGCCCGCACTGTTCAGACACGCGATATCGTTAGACTGTAGAGATCCTCTGCGATGAGCCAGACCTTCTTGAAATACCCGCTCAATCTGAAATGAGGATTTTTTTTGTTTACATCAAAGATAGGTAGATTTCTCTGAGGATCTTGTGCACGGTCTTACCATTCACAATTTACGTCGGTAAAATTCTAAAAATCGAGACCTGTCATGCCTGTAGGAAAGTACATATCCTCTTTTAAATTTAATGATAATAATAATGGAATAAATTGGGTTCCTGCTTTGAATGTCTAAAATGAAGGTACTTGCAAAAATGATTCAGGACATAATACCCCTTTGGCAGTTAATAACATTTTGTTTCCGATGCGTACCGAAACAAACATCAAATTTGAAAACATGAGATGGGGGAAAAGGTATACAAGAGTGGGAGGGGTACTAGATGTACTAGGTATTTACCTCATTTGGCCTAATGTTTCAGCCAACAGACTCAATATAGTCCTGCGATATCTTACCTCGTTTCCGATGAGTTTCAACCCTATTTCTTCAACATTATCTGAATTCCATTGGAAGTCACAGATTCTTCCAAACGGGATTCTCCTTATCGTGATCTCGATCTGCAAAAGAGAAAACATTAGAACGTTTTGTTACATTAGACCTTATATATCATTCCGCCCTTAGAAGGGCATCGATCCGCAAGTTACTTTCACCGAGTTCTGCTTAGACTTTCGAATTTTTTTCTTGTTCGATTCCATTTTTGGGGGGTGTCTTTTAGGTCATCGATTCGCAAGTTTCCTTCACCGAGTTCTTCTTAGACTTTTGATTTTGTTCGATTCCATGTTGTATTTGTGTCTTTTAGGTAATTTTCTATATGCAATGTATATGAAGTTCGATTCATAAAATGTAGGATTCTTGCACGAATATTACATGAAATTCATTCATTAACATTACAAAATTGCATAACAATCCTGCCAGAAATTAGTGTCACCAAATTCATTCAAAGATAAGGCAAATGAGTCAGTATCATTTTCTCAGACGTCCTTCAACCAAGATTCAACGTGCTGACGAATGATCTTACTGATGTATTGATATGAAATATTGCATTTATATTTGTTCTCATCCTTAACAAATGTTGAATGATTTAGCATAATATATTACCTCCGGTTTGTCTGACATTCGAACACAGTCTCGGGCAAAGTGGACGTTTTTCAGCATATTATCATTGACCTTCAACCACTGGTCACCTACCCGGAAGTAATCTTTGAGTTCGCAAGGAACATCCATAACTCTGTCATGGGTGAAAAAAGGAAAAATAATCAATTTCAGTGAAAAGACGTAGAAGCAAAGTTCTGTCAAAAGAAACGACAAGAGATAAAACTGAAAGGAGAGGGGGAATAAAGCAAGAATAGGAAGAAAGACAAACTGAAAATTAGACCCCCACCTACAACCACCCATCCCCATCCCCTCACCCCCCCCCCCCAAAAAAAAAAAAAAAAAAAAAATCATAAAGGTACTTACAAAATACTGTCTCTGGTTTCATTCAGCGATAGCATAGGCAAGTACCGGACGATGATAGTTTTGGCGATACGTACTGTTGCTGTTCCTGATAGCTTCTCCCCTTTAAGTTTCCTATAACAAAAAAATAAGATGAAACTAGATGAGTAATTATACTAGGAAACCTCCAATGTAATTAAGCCAGTTAGATTCCGATCGATGTTATATTTCCGTCAATGCAGAACATACGAAATACATTGTTCGGGTTTTATATTAATTGATGGTAAAGTTGATTAAGTTCATGAGAAGAAATATTGCGCACTGCATGTACAACATACATTTTCGAACGAAATAGTTGAAATGCAAAATTCCTTTTTTATTTATCTGTAAAATAATCTCGAATTATATATGTGGCAAAATAATGGAGCACCATTATCATTTCATTCAAATCGGAAGTAACGAAGTATCTTCAAGGCTTTAGACCTCACATATTGAACACGTTCACGATCTATGTCTTATCGATGTCCTGCGAAACTTACTGCTTAGTAAAATAACTAATTCGATTATCTACAATGTATCCGTATTGATTTCGAAACCGACTTATCAGATTGTCTGAATCAGAAATACCTTTTCCATGTAAATTCTGAAATATAACTTTATCTCCTTTGGCTCTTACTTGCATTGTGTTTCTAACTTTTTGGCTGGACTTTTCTTCGGTGGCTTCGGAGGGACTGGCTTAGCCGTTACCGACGGCATACTTGATGTACGCAGTGGGACATGGGGATTGGCGTCATTCCGTACAGAGGCTGGTCGTGGTGGTGTTGTGGTTCTAGAGTCAGTTCTGGTCGTATTTTCATAGATCTGTTCATTCAGGCACATACTAGCCTCGGGTTCCTTTTGGTGTGAAAATCTTCCTCCTGGCAATTCTCTTGTACATGTTGGTGAGCTTGGAGGGCTTCTCTCAGAACATTCGGGCTCTGAATCATCCGACGGTGTAGGACTAGGTGGCCAACTGCTCTCTGTTGGTTCTTTACAGCTGTGCAGACTCTGAGGAGCTGACATGACCGAAGCACCTCCTTCGGATTCTTCGGACGAAGTACTACAGCCGGATAGACGGTTAGCACTTTCGGGCAAGGGATCCCTGGGAAATTCTGGAATCTCGTACACGTGCTCAAACGGGTCAGGCTTTTCCTGAAAGATGAATTTCGATAAAGACCACCGGTTATATTGTCAGTTCGACAACATTACCGTGTGCTCTCATACATTTTTCACCACCCTTTATTGAGCTTGTTTTAAGATGCCTTTGCTGTCATATTGTTTCAGAGTTGATGGCGTGTTTCTTAGCTCACCTGGGCCCTGTCTTATAAAGAGTTGATATTAATCGCAATTATGTACATGAGAGATAGGAGATGGCAAACTTGCAATTGATCGGAGGACTTGCGATTGATTAGGATCAATCTCAACTCTTTATGAGACGAGACTCAAGACATCACATATTGCACGATCAGCACAATGTGACTCATATGATTACATTAAGTTTGATCTAATTGCAAATATTTCAATTTAGACACAGTCTAAAGACACATCCCATTTTTCAATCCGTCCCCTAGCTGCAAGAAGGCCGTAACAACTACATACTGCACATGGCAGTAACGGCCTCATTGCAGGCTGCAGACGATTTATTAACCCCTTATTAAGTTTATTTGCATATGTAATATGTCTCTCTTGATACAAGGCCCACAAAGCTCGTCAAGAGAATTGACGATAATCATGATAAAAAAGGTACTGACCTGAAGCATTTTTGTCAAATGGAAATCTTGGTACAGTTCTTGTTTCTTTTTGAGGGCCTGCATGGAGGTTTGCTGCTGTCTTCGCCAGTCATCCTTATTATGAACGTAGTGAATGTTCTCGTATGTATGTTGACAAAGGGCTGTGTGTGCGGTAATGAAAGTGTCCAAATAATAAATATTTATTATTATCATCATGCACTTCTTCTCATGCGCTATAACAACGTCAACAAAAAGAGCTATAAAACTTGATTTAGAGATCAGAGTAATTTTCTCTGTTGTTTTGGCTACAAACCCAACGTCTGGTGAAACATACCAGATGTCCGTGTATTTTAAAAGGCACAAGTTACATTTATTTGGACCTATATGCTGGAAACCGGCTCATTTATCATACAAATTGTTTCTTAAAAGCGCTTTACCAGTTACATTCAACCAATTTAGCGACTACAGTATTATTATTACACCATTCACGGGATTAATATTCTTTTATTATAGTGCACATTCTCCACTAGATGGGGAGAAGCAATTTAGATACGATACATTTTCAGCGCTCGAACCCGCGCCCTCTGTATTCCCAGTCAAGTGACTGAACCAGTCGACTTCAACCCATCGATATCACTGAATTTGTTCTCTACACATTTTTGAGCTATTTACCGTCGTGTGACGCCCCAGTCTCCAAGTGATGACGTCCACAGCAAACTTGGCTTTCTTCAGTCTCCTCAACATGTTCTGGTGGATCGACCCTCTGCTATAGGAAAGAATGAAAAGAGGAGCATGATAGAGAGAAAATAAACAATATGCCAAATTTGCCGACAAAAGCAGATCAATTGATTGCTAAATAAATAAATAGTAAAATCATTATATATTGATAAACAAGAAAGTCAATACCCCTCTTGATTTAAAGGATTGGGAAGATCAGGAAGATACATTTCATTTTTTGTAACAATCAAAAGTAGTTTCAGGTTTTTGGTAAGACGACAGATCGAAGACATTAGGCCTTGGTAGAGGTGTTGTGGTCGAGTGGATACGTCGCCGGACTGTCGATCACAAGGTCCGCGGTTCGAGTCCCGCCGCTGCACTAATGTCCTTTGGCAAGACATTGATCTACATTTGCCACACTCCACCCAGGTGAAGTAAATGGGTACCTGGTAGGAATTTATTCTTTGAAACGCAGCGCGCGTAACAGCTGCACTGCTAAAGCCAGGGTAATTATGCTGCATTATTGTAGAGCGATTAGAGACTTCTGACAAAGTAAGTGTTAGGCGCTATATAAGCACTGTAATTATTTATTATTACAACATTTCTTCACTTGTACGTTCTTGCCTAAAACAGAAGGCATCTTCACCTTCAGCAGTCGGTTTTTTTTCCAGGATTAACAACAGAAGGACTTACCTTAACGACTTTGACTAGCTCATCTTGAAAAATCCCAAGCATGCTGCCAGGTGCTGTGGTAGGGGCTCCTCTCCGAGCCCGGGAAGCGGCTGGTCTATTGGAAGCAGCATCTGTCTTTGTTCTCATTCGATAGGGCTGCAATTGCTGGTACGCGTGTTGATTGGGTGTGGTTTTTATGGACATCAAGGCCTGTAGTTGGATGCACCACTCGTCCCTCTGCTCTCTGCGTAAATCAATAGAACGGTTGGGGACATGTTCTTTCATGACGTTCTTAGTCTCGAACTCCTTAAATATTTATGATGCAAATGACGATATTTTTTTTTTTTTTTTGGGGGGGGGGGGTAAGTATTCTAAACCTATTAATCATAGGGTGTTGATTATTCTTCTTCAAATTAATAAATTTGAATAATTCAGTTTTAACTCCCTTTATGGGACAATAAAATATTTGCTCTGCTACCTTGACAATCATCACTACTACTGTAACTTCTCATATTACTCACCATACTTTCCAACAAATCTATATTCTTTTTAAAATCAGAATTACTGCTGCAAGTGCTAGATTGTTTGCAAAAAGTATACTTCTTTTGTTTACTTATTTTAACCATAAATCTCATATATTTTACCTTTTCACTAATTTGTCTTATGCTTACCTTGTATCGGTACGTAGGTATGTAGGTTTAGTCCCACTACCACTTCCGGTGATGCAGATGTAGTTGTCGTACTTTGCCTTGACGATCTTCGGGACAAGATCGTCCTTTTGCACGGCTGCAAAGGACTTCACTTTGACAATAGAATTTGGTTCTTCGGATCCATCGGTGAATATTTGAATCTCTGGACGCTCCCCAATGTCACGTGGAACTAGCTTGCAGATCACCAGTTGTTCTTTGTCCTGCAATGTGCGTAAGTTATCGATTTGATGTTCTTATTAATCATCATCACAACGAACACGTTTGATATAACTTTTTCATTAGCGATTAAAAAAAAACACGAAAGGTTTGTTGTTAAATCTTTTGTTTTCTTTTCAATTATTAAAAATTGAATAGCTTAAATTTCACAACATTTTTAAAATTTACTAGTAACAAAAATCAATCAAATCACCTTTGTTGTATTGTAAACTTTCATTAAAACGCTTGGATTAAATACAAAGTGAAAGTAATGTTTCTTTAATCAACTCACAGACTAGAATACTAGAATTCAGGGGCCAGTTTCTCGAAACCGTCATAGGTTAGGTCATAGGTTCGTGGACATCACGTAGAACAGCATGTTTAACACACGTTTCAATGGGATGTCCAAGAAGTTAGACGTATGTTGGTTTCGAGAAACAACCCCCAGTATGCTACGATACTAACTCTCCATTACATTAAATGACTCGACATGTATTTATTTGAAAATAGCCCTACCTAATTTGTTAACTTTGCGTTAAAAACAAAGAACAGCTAATTTCCATCTGTTTCTTATCATAGTTCTCTTTCAGGTTATCAATTATTTAGCATTTATTGATGTGATAAGAAAATGCAATTACTAGTTCTATTTGACGACGTCTTGACATCCCTTACCTTTAGAAACCCCCCTGCCTTGTGTAAAAACATGTGTGATCCTGTTGTCCCAGACATGGTTCTGAAAGACAAAAACATTTCAATACTTCTTCAATATCTTTAATTATTGTTCCATCTGATAAAATATAATTTATTCCTTTTTATGTTAAAGGGATCATGATAAAGTGAACATTCCATTTTTTTGTCGACGTTCGATAGAGTCGTCCCCCACTCCGAGAAGGCCGTAAAGGTCATGTTTGTCAATCGCACTAACGGCCTTATTGCAGGCAGCTGAGGAGTTATCATTAGCAAACAGTCGATTTTAAGATATTTAGATATGTTTGCGTTAAAGCGTTTCGTTCTTTTGCTTCGAGAAAGAAAGCAAACGATATAGCATTACCCACAAGGTGGTTGATAATACCCTCCTAGGAATGCCCACGGACGTCTGGAAACAATACATTACTTGTTATGGAAATATTTATGTTTCTTCAAAATTATATTATGATGATGATAATGATGATGATGATTATAATAAAAATAATAATAATGATGATAATGACATTTGTTGGTCAATTAAGGCGCACTTGTGCGAAACAATAAAATATCATCTGCGTAAAAAACAAATGAGCAACTTAAATAAGAGAATATGAACATACAAACATATTTTTTTATGCCGAATTAAACAGATTTGTTTTAGAATTATTTGTAAACACTTCAACTGAGCATTCCACAGCGGAGGCCTTCCATCAACAAAGGTTCCCCTTAAAATTGAGTTCAAAGGATAAGTCATTACTTTTCTATTCGTTGATGCAACAAGATGTGAATATGGGAGATACAGATAACAATAACCTCGTCCTAACATTGAAATTATGTTTGTACCTAGCATGATTTTAATCTAAGAGGGTATGGAGTGGCAAAAGAAGATTAATGTCTTGCTAAAGAACATTAAACGTAAAATCGTCTGAACCGGGTCAGAGTATTTCCGAGATAATAAAACTCCTGTATCTTGCATGGTATCCGTTCCATTTTATAATTGGTTAAGTATGCAAGATGAAAGTGTTAGCATTCATTTTTGATAAACAGATATTGACGAATAATGCATGCCTCTATAAATAGATTCGACACAGAATAAACTTAAAGAAAACCGATGACATCATGATTTTATTAGCGAAAATTTGTGACACCAATACATTGTCAATGGTTAAAGATAAATCTGTGTTGAGTCTCTTTCAAACTTTACTCCGTGGCATAATATTTTTTTCTTATTTATGTTGCAATGGTATCGTACTGTGTAGTCATTATTGCACTATCAAGGATTTTAAAAACCCCGAATTTAAGTTTCGGTTATTTGAATAGTATTAAATCACAGAGCTAATGAGGCGGGGAATGTGGAACTTTTTTCACAAAAAAGTCAGTCGTGGGAACCGCGCAGATCCTGCCATTACCCTGATATGAGGCGTGCCTGGGTGGGCGGCGCGCCGAGGGATCATGGCCGGATATCAAAACAGCCAGACCTCGAATATCAAGGCAGTCGATATATCTTTTATATGCCGAATTCAAACAAAAATCTGCCCAGAATTCTTACCTTATTCTTTAATTGAGTAAAGATTGGTTAAAACATCACGGAAAATCTTAGAAACTCGTAAACCAATGGGTACCGCAGCAAATTTTTATTATTTTCCCGGTAACCGGAATTTTGAGGGATTTTACTCTTGGACTATTAAACGGTTTTGGCGTTTTTAGTTTTTTTAAGGGAATGGCTAAAATCACGACCCCAATTTCGACCAATCAGATGGCTGGATTTCTTAAATGAGGTATATAAAACTTATTAGTCAAAGGTACCGCACCGCACATTTCGTAAGAAAAAAGAAAGAGATGTTAGGGCCACAAAAGGGGAAACCCATGATGTAACGTGTAAATTTCTCTGTATATCAATTTTGAAGAAAACAGTTAAATATGAATGATGAAATTGATTTTGCAATTTTCTGATTTTTTTTAAACTTCTTCTCCTAATCTTTTATTTGATTTTTTATACTTCTAGAAGGTTCCAAACTGAGTTTATTATAAATAATACATATTTTCATGAGGAAACAAACCTACCTATTGTATATTTTACCATGATTCCAGGTATTCGTTAGAATGATCATCATAACTTCATTATGCTAAAAACAACCATTTGAATAATTCTCTGAATTGATGGGCTATGGCACTGAAAATATCCAAATAAAAAATAATTGTTTTTCTATCGTCTTCAAAACTGTGTATTCAAGATATCAGAAGTTTCAAAAGCTAATTGTCTAACAGTCTATTTCCTGTCGGTCTCACGATCTATGGCACACAAGACAGCTACTTATGTTTTTTTTTATAAATTGATTTAAGTTTGTTTTGATTTCTATAGAAGTGCTTTAGGAGACTTAACCCATTCTCCCACACCCCCTTTGCATGCAATTGAGACTAACAAGTACAAATCAATACATATTGACATTCTCGATAGCCGTGATTTGTATGGATGATTTCAAAGTCCATGTATTATTCTTCATTTGTTATTCTTTAGTATTCTCTTCTTCGCTCTTTCCCCTTGTCCTCTTTTGTGAACACGACGTAATGCGTTTGTACTTCTCTGGGGAGGGAGATGTGGATTGTTACACTTTGTAATCTAATTCAATCATTATTTTTGTGTTTAATATCTGTAATGTGAGGCGCGATAGCTCAGTCGGTAGAGCAGTTGTCTCCCTGACTATGCTTGGGATACACCGCCTTGCACGAGTCCCCAAATCAAACAGTCCTTGTGAAACCTTTCAAAAGTAAATATATCTTTGTCGGAAGAGTGAATAAAGGAAATATATTATGCTAATATTATACTTCTAAACACCTGTACAGCAACCTGTGTATTATTATGATCTATGCGGGTGTTTGTGTGTGCGTGGGTGTATGTGTGTTTGAGTGAGTAGAATTCGCATTGCACAGAGGAAATTCAATTTGTATTGTACAAAAACTATGGAGAAGAATATTCAAAACCGTTCGATACAGTCAACGAAGTACATGAGGGGGCGAGCAAAAAGTATAACATTTTTATTTTATTTTGCCACTGTTTTGTTTCCTATATATTAAATGGATTTTTTTTTTTTTTTTTACTTGTATATAAATATACAAGGTTATAGTTGCATTGATGAATTTACTGCAGACATTATTGGTGTTATTTTTAGTATCTCTTTTTTTTAAAAGCTAATCCACAATGTCATGCCAATGTCAATCATACTCCAATGCTTTCGGTTATTAAGCTAAATAGAAAATAAAACAATATCATGATATATTGCTAACCCATATGAAATACTGTAGATCTTGCAGGCGTGCACAAATAAATCAAATACAGTCACATCAACAAAATAATTAGCTAAGTGATCTTCACTACTTCTGAAGAGAAAAGCATTCACTTTGTTTTCGTTTGTGCTGTAAATACAGTGTCATATAGAATTGTAATGTTTAACAATCACAAATTCCGCTTTAGATATAAACTGGTGGGGTTTTTTTCTATTTGCATTTTCGCTCTCGCTCTCTCGCTCTCTCTCTCTCTCTCTCTACCAGAAGCAGTGGTCATGGATTTTGTCTCGTCCGAAAATTGAGTGAGAAATCTGCCAGGAATTTTCATTTTTAATTGTTTTTAAATATTAAAATATAAATAAGACTAATTCAATGATACCATGGTGAGCAAATGCTTATTTTATTCCTATACTGTTAAATTCATACCATTTACATTTTAATTGGATGATGCTCATTGATCAGAGTTTCAATTGCTGAGTTTAATAGAGATAAATCCAATCTAAAACAAATGATGTGTGGTATACATTAAAAAGGGGGAAGTCCATGTGTCACCCCTTTCTCTCTCTCTCTAGTTTTCTCATTCTAGGGTTTGACAAACATACATGAAATATCCATAAAATACAGGTGTTGCTAAAAGTTTAAATCAAAAGGGAAATTAAGTCCCGCTCTTCATTCTAAACCACTACTGACAATCCTCCATGAATACGGCAAATATATATTTTTTTTAATTATTTTTTTTATTTCATTCGTCATATAAAAACATACATAATTATAACATTGATGTTTACAGATAAGTAAAGAACTTACAAATAACATAACGAAAGGTAAACATAAAATACAAATATAAATAAGGAACCATCAAAATTCAAGTCTGCAATCAGAGTGGAATATACAGTATTAGATTGATCATGCTAACCATAATGATAATAATAATATTCCGCTTTTATATAGCTGCACGATTTTGACTCACCTCTTCTTCCCCGACATACGGCCAAGGTAGATACTATCTGACAGATTGCCAAGCTGGCGATGAAACTTTATTGTTGAATGATTATCACTGCACTATCCCTCTGATTGCTTCCTGTCTACCAGAGATACCAGAGTATCCGAAACAGACCTTCACTTCAAGATATTTCTAACACGAATGAGCTCTCCAAGTTTGAAGTTTCTGTTGACTTTACTTCGAAACCTCTAACTTTATTCCCTTGCAAGAGGGAAATACCCGACGCGATAACGTAATCTGCTTAATTTAATTCGGGGATATATCGTAAACAAGAAGTCCCGGATAGTGCCCTTTGGTAAAGCATTCATCCTCATCACCAGGTCCCCTGGAGAAGACATAAAGACTTCGGCCCCTGGCTGCTTATTTACATGCATAAACATGCTCTCTTAGCAGTCAGGTAAAACAACCAAAGCAGTCGTTTGGAATATTTTGAATATGTTTAAGTTCAGGAGTTTCGTGCTATTCCTTTGAAGAAAAAAACAACAATGTGGAATTACATCGCACTGATTGATATTATCCTTTTACAAAAGCCCAGGTGTGTCTGGCAACCGTACAATACTGGTTTTCATTGGAATATTTCTGTATCTTCTAAATTATAAAGTGATGATGATGGTTATGATTATGATAATAATAATATTAATAACAATAATAATAATAATGATTATACTAATGAGATTTGTAAGCGCTCAAGGCGCAATTGCGCAAAAGAAAATTAAAAAACCTCTGTGTAATAAAAAAAGAGCAACATAACATG